ACAACATCATCAAACTCCATTCAGGCAATGTAAGAGCTGAAGGGGTTGTTTAAAATTAACAAACTGGAATATGTGATATGTCTACCATACATACAGGCATGAATTTGGATGAGATTTTGTGCTTAACAAAAGACTCTCGAATTCATTTAAAAAATCTTTTGAATCTCATTTTGATTTGCATACACATATCGACGGAAGAGATGAACAATATCAACATTTATACGAGTCTTGTAGATCTCTACGACTGCTGCCCTGCGTACAATGCCAAACGTATTTTCGGAGACGTTGTCGCAGAAGTCATTAAAAAAGGAATTTTTAGGTAAACGATTAAAGAGCTAAACCTTAAAAAATTTACGTCCAATAGCGAACTGAGGTTAATTGACTTTGATGCTGCGCGAAACAGTCACCAAAGTTGACCACGGTTTTTTTCAAAGAAAGCAAATACAATTGCTGGGGTTGCTTTCCGAATGACAACCTACCCAGTTTTTGATTTCTTTTGGTGTCAAGAATATATCAAGAATTCTAGATATATGAAATCGTAGCCCTAAACTTCCTAAAGGGATAACTTGATGAGAATTGTAAGTTATTCAATCAATGCTTTTCTTCATATTTTATTATTTTATTTATAAGAATTGCTTTTGTTCAATTCTTATTAAGTTTAATTTAAGACAACGAGCGCAAATTGAAAACTTTTTGAAAACTACTTTCTTGTTCTACCAAATGTACGGTTTTTAATAGTTTAAGTTTGAATATATTTTTCAGTTTTCATTTTCATTACAATTTTCATTTCCACATCTACAAAAAATAATTTTCTTTGTTGTATTTTCAGCTAAAACCACAGAATGACTAAAGTTTGTATGATTTAACTAACCCAGTAAGAAGATTTGTTGATATTTAAGGATATATGATTTTTAAGTAAAAGATATTTGTAATATTCGTTCAATATTCAACATATGTGTATATAGCAAAAGGATAATGCATTTACTGATGTATAAATGGATTTAAAGGGACAGCTTTATAGTTGAAAGTTAGTAAAGATATGAGTGTCAGATACAGACACTCATATATGGCTATATATAGCGCAATGCATTAACATAGGTGGAGCAAACAATATTACCTTAAAGTTGTTTTTTGGTCTTGTTTGCTAACATATGGAGTTCCTTATATAAATCTATGTACTATAGAACCTGCCTCAATTCTTTTTTCAGTACTGGGTAATCAAGTTTATAAGTTCAGTTCAAGAAAATGTAGAACCAAGTTCATATGTGAGTGCGTACGCATGTAAAAATTTCAGAACAAGTTTAAGTTTTTATAATATTATAGGTATTTAAAATATAAATTTTCTTGAAGCACTTCATAGTTTACGAGAAATTATTTAAATGGAAAAGTAAAAGTTTTCTACGATATTTTACATACAAAAATATTCAATTTTGCTGACAAAAATTAATAAAAATTTAAAATAATTTTGACTTTCATTATAAACATTTTGAAACATGGCAAATAATGAAAAGCAATTTTTAATATCGAATTTTTATTACTTAATTTAATTAATTAACAGAACTAATTATTAATTAACAGGTCATCATGCCGAGGTCACCAAATGCTGAAAATGCTTTTTAAGGATAGTGACCTGCGGTTAACCGCAGGTGAACCCATTAAAACTTGCTTAAAGCAATGAATTGTGCGAAAACATTCCACCTTGTGTGATAGATCAATAGTTGAAATCAATGATTTCAATGGAGAAGTTAAAAGGCTTAACGTACAATTAAGTAGATATTCATTACACATGAAAAGTATTTTAGTATTTTCAAATAGCAGTAAAAAGGTTCAGATTATGCCGCACATTAGACTTTTCGAATAGAAGGGCAAAGTGCTATTACAGTTCACATAACTAGCGAAGGCGTTTCTAGTAACAGTAGCATAACTACAACGGGCTTAAAAATGCAATCTAAATAATGACATAAAATACATCTTTGAGGCTTTTGGGCGACGTCTTGACGAAATGCAAAATCGATGATCCCATGAAGACTAACCGTTGGACATTGCTGTGCTTTTAGTGGGTTGAAGCCTCACACTCACATCGACTATGCCATCCGCAAGCACTTGTTACTTGTTGGAGCGTATAATTGTGTTTTATTATCATTGTGATTATATTACAATTATTGTGATATATATAACATATTATATCACGTTGATATTTTGTTGAAAGTAAATAGATAGAAAGCTTGTTTTTCGTTCGATTTGTGTAATCGAATACTTGTAATGAACTAAATAAATGACATATATACTATATATAATATATAGTAATAAAAATAAACAGCAAAAACGAAAACTTAACAAATAACTTATATTATACATGATACTTAACAACTTACTAACTACTAACGAAATCAACATGACGCGTATTAAACTACGTCCTTCATGTATCATTGCAGCGTACCACTATTCCTAACAAATCAATTTTTTTGTAGCACTAAACTAGGATCCGGCTAGCTAAACTTCGGTGAGAAAGGTACATTACAGTACTTAATATCAATTATATAAAATGTTGTGTGGCTAAAAATACTTTGTATTTATCGAATTCAATAAAAGTAATAGCGCACTTTACATATCTTAATTAAGTTAATTAATATTAACTGCTACAGCAAAACATTGATCTTGAGCGTGTTTGACAGCAGCGTGAATAGACAACTAAACCCACCTAAGACAGTGTTTATTTGAATTTGTTTAAAGGTATTACCAATATGAAAAATTTCTAAACAATATTTTTTTGTGTACTTGCTTAGTTTCGATCAAAGAAGATAAAGAAAAGAAACTGAGAGTTACTCGAAAAATTGTGTATAAATTTTTCTGGATTATTCAAAAAATATTCAAAAATTTTGTGTAATGAGGTGAAAATATTACGCAGTACAATAACAAAAAGCCTAATGCTACATAATGGCGCGTGAATATTTTCCCCACCCGGACCCTGATACTTTGCCCACCCGGTCCCTACTCACCACGATATTTGCTAAAGTAAGAGAGGTTTCTGAGAAATTTCGTTGTTTGTTTTGGTTTTTTGACATTAAAAATCCGTTACGAGGAAATGCGCCAAAGTTGCAATTAAGTGCACAAATACCACATTACTAAAAGAAAAATAAGGCGGAATTTGTTTTCAATTATAAAAGCATTAAAAAAAGGTAATTATTCCACAAAAATATATGAATTATTAGTTAATTAAAATTTATTTACAATTGAAACGGAAGTGCGTACTTGGATGTTTAAATTTCAAACATCTCTATATTTTTCCAAACGATTATCGAAGGTATATTATTAATTAAAAATAACGCAATTTATTGTTGTAGAATAAAGTAAATATATAAATGTATTAACACATTAGAAACTTAGATGTGTGCCTAATTAGTGTATATAATAAACTACGAATTAAGTTGTGCTTTTATTTTTTATTTTTTCCATGATATACTAATAATTATAAAAAAGGAAAAATCCTGAAGAGAAATTAATATTATTAATTATACTTTGATTGAGTGTTGTTATTATATATACATATATTGAAAAATTAGAATCACAATTTTCGGATCAGTTCGATAGCAATTGCTATAAATTAGGTTTAGCGCAACATTTATTTAATAAATTAGAAAACGTTCATCCCTATATATGTTGCTCTAATTGCAAAATTGAAACTCTTCTATCTTTTTTCATTAAAGTAAGAATTTACTTCATTTTAAAATATTTCAATCGAGATAATAAAGTGTCGAATTTTAAATATAAAGAATTATGCTTTCAACACTTATAAACAGCACAAAAATGTTCATACTCTTTAAGTGATTTTTTGCTTAAACAAAAAATATTTCAGTTTTAATTTTATAATTTATTAAATTTATTTATAATTTATCTTTAATTTAATAGTTCCTTATTATTTTTGGTTTAATATTAAATATTTTTAAAATAGTAATATTATTTTGTATATATTAAGTTATTCTAAATTGTATTTACATAAAATTGTATATTTGTTAAATAAAATATTTTGATGGATAGGCCTATTGGGGAACCGAACACCTAAAACTCGGGAACACGCCAGCAAGCATACCTCTTAGGTGGCGCGGAAAATGCTTATATATTTAATATTTCTTCTAACACTTTGCGATGAAATTGATCCTTATTGTTTACAATGTTGTTATTAACTAGTTAAGAATTTCTTGAATTTCATATACAAAAAACATTTCACCTTACTGAAAGGATTGCTTAAAACTACAAAAAATATGTAGTAGTAAACAGTATATACATTTTTCTGATTTTCTATATTGAAAAAATTTGATGCACAAGCAAAAATTGTATTACAATACACCAAACTTATTTGAATTTTAAAAAATTATATTAATATTAATCTTTTTGAAACAAACTATTAAAACAATGCAACCTAATATTCGAAATGTATGAACACATACTAACTTTTCTATTAGATGCTCAGCATATATATAAATATAGTACGTATATGTGCAACATGATTAAAAGAACTTTTATTTTAATAAATACGATACAATTTTTTTAACTTTATTAAAACAATTTCATGACTAATTATATATACATATTTACATATATCAATAATAGCTACTTTATATTTACTATTGATTTTAGTTTACCAATTCTTCATTTATATTTGATTTATATAGCGCATTTAAAACTTTTATGTAAATTGAAGTAAAACTGATATAAAAAATCATGCCTATATTTACTCATTATAATCGTATTAATATATACAATGGATTTTCCAAGAACAATAATTTATACTATTTCTTCTAATTAGAAGAAATGGCTACATGCTAATATGCAACCACAAATGTAGTAAATATTTAAGTTATAAGCCACACCGTTTTTAATATTTGACAATTCTGGTATGGTAAATAAGTAAAAGAGATTTTCTTTGCGATATTACACAAAGAGGCACCATTATTCAAAATTTCCTCTCAGTTTCTTTTCTTTATCTTCTTTGGTTTCGATAACACAAATCTTAATCATTTGCAAGATGGCGACGATATCGGGAGCAGATGCAATACGTTGCCGGAACTTCATGAAAGAGATATTTCAAAATGCTCGGTAAGTAGTGATTCTGAGGCAATTATAACAAATATTGTTACGAAATTTAATTATTCTCAGCTCGATCATTGAACTATACGGGCCAAGCAATGCAATAAATGCATTACCAATACAGTCCGGCTTATTTGAAGAGGCAATTTGTAATTTAAGAAACTTCAAAGAATTCATTACAGAGTTGCGTCAGAAATTGTTTGACAAACAAGATTTTGCAAAAGTAAGACTTACTTAAGTGTAATATTTTACAAATAAAATTTTGCATTATTTACAGATGATCGACCTTGATATTATTATCGGAATTATCGAGAATTGCGAGGTGAAGGCATTGGCATATCTTGAAAGAAAGGAGGTAACAACTGCATCTAGATTTGCACTAAAGCTCACAAAAACCTTGTCTATGATTTCCGGCGTATTAATAAATTTTTATGAAAATTAATTAAAAAACAAAAATGACTATTACCAAACATTGATCATGTAGAATGTTAAATATATAAATATAAACAAATACATATATATATATAACATATGTATATAGTTTTGAGATTTTATTGCATGAGCCAGGAAATGAACCAAAGAAGGTTGTTGAAGTTAATAACATAATGTATTGTCTATTAGTGTTGATGTTGAACTGATAACATACAACGGACATATATTATATAGTAGCCAAGAAAATACAGATAAGATTATTTGGTACTAAACACGACAAAAAGGAAACATCAAATATTAAAAATTATAAATCAAGAATAATGGAATGTTTTCTCTTGACGAACCTTTGTGGAAAATTTTTGTATAAAGAAATATGTTTATATTAACAAATCAAGTACTTTAAAAAAAATTTTTTTGTACTTGATTTTCTTAAATAGATTGGTGTAAGATTCTTACTTATTTTAATTAGAAAAAGAGTAAAAATATTTACTCTAAAGTTTCAATTAAAATATTTGAGAATAAAATCTGCAATATTGTCATGTGAAATATATAAGAATATTCCTTCTTATACTCTCAGATGTTTTGAATATTTTTCTACAGAAGATAGTTATGAAATAAACTAATAAAAATTAAAGATTACATTGTGATCCTACTTCCAACTGGTACGAGTATCTGTCGTTTCTTGATATTTCACTTATACAAATAAAACCCACATTTTTATATTATATATAAAATCATAAGATTTCATATAACTCAAGTTATTTTGTCGCCATCAATTTTTTGATGAGATATTTTTAATAAAATTACAATAAATCTGAATCTACCCAGATAACAATAAATATCCATTTGGATTCATTTTTCTTGTAAAATTGGATGTCTACTAAAAAACAAAATTAAACTTACACATTCTTCTCAAATTAAACGTTCTCCGACTTCAGACAGCTTTTGCAATATTATCTACGTAAAATGCGTTACCGGCCCACCTATGTTTTTAGCTTTATATAGCGTATAACTGAAGTCTTTACTACTGTGATAAATATCACGAATGGAAAGGCAACCTTAAATTGCGAATATTTTTATTGTGTATTCTATTTCCCACTGGGTAATCAAAAATAAACTGCTATCGGGAAGTACGTCGTTGCTTTAAAAAGTATATTACGGCAGACATTCCTGAAGTACATTCAACTTAAGATTCTATGGTTTAGTTATTAAAATCGGAACAGTTAGTACCACCGCATCACTCGATACTTACCAAACACAAAATAAAATATTTCAAATATATATTATGTTATTTTTATTATTCTTGTAATCTTACATTAATATTTTTGATACAGAACTTATTCGATTGTTTTTGTTAACTTATTGTCTATCAGAAGTTACTAGTTTCATTAAATTATTTAATTTGTACAAATATAAAAAGATCTGTTCTTGCTCTCTGTTTTGTTTATCGAATAATAGTTCTTCAACCAGTGTTTTTATTATTACTGAACTGATTCTCTACATTGAGGTTCCAAACCGATAAGATAGTAAAAATTTGACTTTTTGCTTTGCGTGAAATTGGAAAGTGGCTTTATTGTTCTGCGTTAATATTTTGACTCTCTATAAGTAATAATTAAATCTTCTATGTGTTATCTGAAAAACATACACAAAGTCCATATCATTTTCATGGTCATCTTCTAAAGCAGATCCATGACTACCGGGTGCCTGTTCTGGAGCCTCATTTTCACGTACATCGTTTAAGTTCACAGAAGGAAGTACGTTAACAAAATCCGTTGGCACACTTGGACGCACTGTTGGAAAAGAGCTTGGACCAGGAACTGCTGTAGTATGCCCTGCCGGAAAATAATTTAAAACGGGGAATACAGGCCGATACAATGATGGAAAAGGATTCTGTGCAAAAGCCGGAGGTTGAATATGACGAAGTAGTGGTGACCAAAATTGATTTGGAATGTCTTCTAGATGGGAAGTTCCAGGAAGTTGTATAGAGTTCATGCGAATTGGAACCAATCCTTCTGGTACATTGTTTTCAATATCACGTTGCTCATTTGCATCATTTTCATCGTTGATATTTTGCGACATCTTGAAAAATCAAACCTTTTCGCTCGAACGATTGCTTTGTACTACATAAATGCTTCTGCTTTTATGACATAATACTCTTACTATTTCAGGGTTGTATTTCGAAAGTAAAGTGTCATGCTTTTCCATTTTCATAGTTTCTTATAATAAGGTCAACAATATTATTTGTTGCATATTCCTTTGCTAATTATTTAGACGTTGAGTTAAATAAAAAACAGAAGTAATTAAAAAAATTTGAACAAATAACGAGAAGTAACAATAGTATCTTGTAGGTTAAAAAACATATATTGAGAAACAAATTTCATAGAAATTCAACAGTTTGTTTTTTGATATCAATTAAAGGACAATATTTATTTATATTTTTTATTGATCATCAGATTTATTGAATCCAGATTAATAATTCTTAAAAGTCAAAATCTTTATCTTAGTTTTTTAGAGTGTTTTAAGCACTATTTATATTAAATTCTTTTGTATCTTCTTAGGTATAAATATTATTATTAATTGTATATTAATTGTGTGTTATATTCGATCAATCTCATTATTTATGAATTGGATTTTAGTTTGCTATAATTTATTTTCTTACAATAAAAATAATGAAATTGAAGTTAAATGCTACTTAAATAAGTCACATATCCTATACACTGCATAACCAACAAAATATAATACCTGCGCATGAAATGCTTCAACAAGTTTCGACCACTAAGAGAAATCCTTGAAGGACTGTTGTAAATGGCCACATTTAAGTAACTTAGTTGTAACAACAATTCTCAAACCACATCGAAACTAATAATATTGCATTTACTGTAGTACGAATTGTTAATCACTAAGAAAATAGCACACTTACACATAGTAAAGTCGTGAAGCAGTTCGTGCAACCCGCATTACTCATACCTGGCCCCAAATTTCACATTTCAATGTCCAATGCAGTCGCACAAAGAGATTAGATTATGTTACTCATACGTACTGTGCCCCATAACCAGTTTAACTGTTGCAATTTCAATTCAAACCGTTTTGCTGACTGTCAACTCCAATTTAAGCCATAATAACCACGGTAACCAAAGTGATGATATGTCATCGTGCAGTGTGGTCAGTTAAATATCAAATTAATGCGGCTCTTATGCATTTTGACAGTTTTCATTAATTAATTAGCTAAACTTGTGTGAGTAGTCACATTTGTATAAAGACCAATTATCGGAAAGGCATTATTTTAATTAAATAAAATGCTTGTTAAACAAACAAGTAACCCAAATTAGTTTTGTTTTAATTTAAAATCATGTTAGTGCAAATAATTAACTCTCTAATCTGAATTGAAAACAAACCAAATGTAACGGTTTGTAAGCTGTGTGTAAGCTGTGTGTAAATGGAAATACGACACACAATTCATTTACTAACTATAAAAAGTGAGTCTTCCAAACAGTACTTCAATCTAAATAACTTATATATATACATATATATTTCATATAATGTTGTTATTTACAGATTTCACAATTAAGTGTCTTATAAAGCAAAGGATGGTTTGTTATATCATATTTGCATATCTTATGCAGTTAAATTTGACGGTCTGAACATAGCCTTACAATTTGCTCCATGTAATTCCCGTCATTATTTTAATAAAAACTATATAAACGAAATAAATACTATAAGCGAATTCTACATTATATAAAATTTTTTCATTTCATTAACGAAATTATTAAATATTTAAATGTAAATAGCAACATTTTCTTGTGTATTACCAAGAAGAAGAAGTGTTGTAAACCCTATTTATCGAAAAAAAACTTCAATTCTAATGTCAACTTCAATGTTAATTCTAATGTCATAATTATCGAAATATTTTCTTTCATTAACAAAGCAACTACTCTTCCTTTCGGAAGGCGTAATTTTTTCTCGGAAGAAAGAATTTTTAAACTGGTCTTTCAGCAATTAAATCTCAAAGTGAGTCGTGGGATAAGTAGTAAATTAGTATTCAATATATAAAAAGGAATAATCAAAAATATTTTCCTGCTTGTTTTTTATATACTTTCTTATACTTAACATAAGCTAGGTGTCAAAAATGAATGGACTCAAGAAGCGCAACTCCTACCGTTTAACTAATTGGGTTGGTTGGAGTCAGACACTAGCAGATGTAATAGCTGAGTTTGAACTAGAACGCGAGCGCGAGCGTGTAGCAGCTCAAAATCAGGCCAGTGGTAGGTGCAGTTATTCGCTTTACAGTATTTAATTCCTTGTAAATATTATATTTTTGAAGTGGACCAAACTCCAGCTCAATTGGGAGACACCCATAATAATGTAGGGCGCAACGCAGTTAGTACTAATGGCGTGACTGATGAGGCTCAAGCAACCAATAATGAAAGCGGTGAGGATCTGCAGGATCAACCACCTTCTATGGAAGAGTAAAATTTTAATGAAATTTAAAAATGTTCATTTATGAACAATTGAAATTAATAAAAGATAAAACGAAGATATTGAGTTGTTTTTTAAATTATTTTGTAAATATATATTACATGCAAGTGTTATAACAGGATGATTCCTTTGAAAGTAATATCAATTTCGGTGATGTCTTTAGCCATAAAGAGGAAAAACTTAAATATACTAGGTGATACATACAATGTTTCATAATGTGAGACAAAGTCCATAGCTCTTAATTTTTAAGAACGAAGCGATATCGATACATAATGACATATAAAAACTTGCTCACAATAGGCGATACGCGAAACATTTTAAAACCGCGGCACCACAGATATAGAAATCTTCCCGAAACGGTTCAAGTAAAACGAAAATGGGTTTGAATAAAACATTTCGTATGTATGCACATATACATATATGTGTATAAAGTATTTGTATTGGTGTGAAAAATTTTCACATTTTATGTAAAAATTGTTAGGCTCATATTGTAGAAATAATTTGTATACAATTTATATACGCTTAACTTGTCCT